AGAGAAACCTTAATCTCATGCAGGCAGGCTAGAAAGCTCTGCTGTGGACTGGCACTGGCTGGAATCCCGACTTAGGGGGAATAGGTTAGAAGACTAAATAAATTCAGCGTGTATGTGTATTCGAGCTTCTGAATGAATGCGGATAATACTTGTACCCTCTGATACAACGTAATCCCCGAGCGTTGACCCTCCCCGAGCGATGATTCCGCCCAAGAGGGCCGATGGCTTCGGTATTGGAATACTGGGCAACCAGGATACCATTATCAGTCTCCATACCAACGGGGCAATAGATACGGAACTGGCTTTAGGCATGGAGGCGAAGAAATCGACTTAGAGACCATTGATCGGAAAATAGCCTGTCGTCAAGTAGAGGGCACGGCAGAACAGGCGTAAAAGTAATTAGCGGGCAAGGGACGGGCCGCTCAGCCCTGAACTAGAGACCAGGTTGCGACTTTACGAGCAGATAGTTTTCGACTTTTATAAGAAGCTTGCTATATAGCGAGCTATAGTTTTATATAGGATGTTTGTATTTTACTTAAAATAAAGTTTTCTTAATAGTAATATTATACTAGACCCCTCTGTATTTATATAATAGTATTGGAAAAACCCTATAGGAAAACTATTACTAAGGGTAAGAGAGATTTAGAAAACTAGAGCTATATCTCTATCTACTAATTTGGTATAGGCTACTAAAGCTTTTAATATTATATTTAAGCTATATAAGTTTTGGTGATAGTTAGGTACGGGCTATATAACTTAAAGTCTGTAAATATTAACTTAAAGGTAAAGTTATTAACAATAATATTATAAAGGAGCTTCTTCCTCTAGTTAGGGTTATTCTTATATTTTCAACCCTTCTTATCTTTAACTTTAGCAAGTTTGAGATTCTATTTACATCCTCTTAAGGTGTACTATTAATAAAAAGAGTATTTATAAAATATTTTTCCAGGACCTTCTTCTTATAGGTCTAGTTGTTAACGTATATTCCTCCTCTAGCAGGCCCGATATAAGAATAGTAAACTTTAGGCCGATACTATACTATTTACTAGTATACCGACCTATATAGTAATATATTTTAGCCCAATTTATAGTTCTAATTAAATTAAATACTCCTAGTAAGAAAATTTATATATTCTATATTATCTCTATATTACTTACTTACTCTAGTGCAATACTTATTATATACTTAATAGATACCGGTAGCTAGTATATAGGTAAGAGTAGTAATTACTTTAATATAACTTGGCGTACTAAGCTTCCTAATAGTAGCAGCAATAAGTATATTAAGGAGAAAGCTAAATTACTGAAATATTACGTTGTATTGTAAAATTTCCTACTAGTTATTCTATATAATAAAGGTATTGATTATTACGGGAACTATAATTTTAAAGAGACTCGAGTTGAATATTATAATTATAGTAGCTGCTGCAATATAATTATTTGCAGTAAACTTAGTAATTTCGTAAGATATTAGTAGATTGAGAAGGGAGACTGAATTTAGATTAGTAAAGAGGCTAAAAAGATACTCGGTATTGAGCTTACATCCGGGGAAATTATAAGTAATATTAACGCATCCTTATACCTATAAGTATATTAGCACTCGGTAACTATACCTAAAGGCTTCTTATTTTGTATTTTCTATAAAAAAGGTTGAGTTAATAATCTTAGTCTATTTAAGGTTGGCGGGATATAGAAAATTATTTTAAAATTTAGTCTCTAACTTCTAAAGCTTATTATATGTAAACTTAGGATAATTTTAAGATCTATAAGAAGCTATATATATTTATTATTAGTAAGAATAAGATATATTAATATATATTATATTAAGTAACTAATTAGTTACTTCTTTATATAAGGTTATAGACTTAAATATAAGAATATTATAAAGATACCTATAGATATTATTAAAGAGGTAAATTAAGTAAATAAAAAAGTAGTTTATAGCTTAAATATAATTATAAGGGATTTATATAGGAGTAAAAATAACTTTAAATAAAATATTAATAAATTAATATAAAAGTTATACTTAGAAGTACTTATAAATAAAAGTTTAATATATTATTAATAATATAACTATCCAATTTTAATAGAATGTAATAGTAATAGTTAAATTCTATAGGAAAATCTAGATATATAAAATATTAATAACTAAGTAAAAAAAAGAAACTTATAGTAGTATTAATACTATTTTATATATATATTATGCTATCTCATATATATATTGCTAGAAAAGATTATACTATTAATAATACTACTATAAAGGTAAATTTTAAAAGATTTTAGCTGCTATTAATTTACTAATTAATTAATATATAAAACTTAAATCTTATTTAGATTTAAAGACTTAGAAATTCCTTATATTAAGGTAGTAATTGCTTATTATATCTTTAAGTAAACTTCTATTTATAATAGTAAAAACCTATAGAGGTTTCTAATTTAGTGAAAATTAGCTAGGGAAATCTTTATATATATATAGAAGTTTTTTTAAGTAGTAATATTATTAGATATTCTTAGTTATATTTTATAAATCCAGCCTTAATTATTTAGAATTATATACTTCCTTCCTTTATATTATTAACCTTACTATTAATTTATTAAAGGATAAAATTATATACTTCTACCTTATAATAAAAGTACTTTAGTTTTTTAGTATATTACTAGCTATATATTAAACTTTAAAAGAAATTTAAATAAAATAGTAAAGATATTTAAGTTTTACTTAGTAGCTTATAGTAATTTATAATATCTATAATAGATATATATTTAGTTATTTAAAATACCTTTTATAAGTTATAATTCTTAACTATAAAAATTCATAATAGTAATTAAGAAAATAGATAAATAAAATAATCTTGCTATTTTAAGAAGCCTACTATTTTATATATTAATAGAGAGTAGAAACTGTAAAATTTAGGGGAATATCTTATAACTTACTTAAAATTCTTTTAGTAGTAAGATTTTTAGACTAGAAGAAGAAGGCTATTTTTATTCCATTTTAAATTATACTAATCCTTAACTTAAAATACTAATATAAATTTAGATTGTACTTAAGCTTAGGTAGAATTTCTCTTAGAATAAATAAATTATATTACTAATATTATTAATTAGAAGAAATTTAATATTTGTAAAGTAGGTAAAGAAACTCTACTATAATATTAGTAATATATTATATCTTATTTTCTTTTTAATTTATATAAGTTTATAAAATTATTAGAAATAAAAACCTACTTAATTATTTTATTTCTTATAACTTTCTTTATATTTAGTAATATATTCTATATATTCTATATTAGGAAAATACTATGCTACTAGATTTATAATCCATATAAAATACCTCTAGCAATAATATATAGGTTTATTATAGAAATAGCAAGTTAGGAAGCTTTTAATTTTATAGTATATACTAAATTATATAGAAGAAAAGCCTATTTTCTTATACTTATCTAGTTAGAATTATATATATAAAGTAAAAATCTTTCTTAATTCTAGCCTGTATATTTATATCTAATTGCATAATGTTTTAAATAATAGCAATTAAAGTATATATTAATAATATATATCTATAGATATAATCTAAGAAGCCTTAAAAATAATAAGTTATTAATAGTAGTAATAAATAAGATTAAGGTACCTAGAAAATAACTTTAATAATTTTAAATACTATAGGCTTAATATTTACTATATAATTTAAGTTATTATATTAAGGGCTAATATTAAGAAGAATACTAGCTATAGATAATAATACCCAGCTAAAGAGTACTTATAATATAATAATAATAAGAATTTTATTTAGGTTTTTTAAAGGATATATTTATACTAGTTATCTAACTTATTAATATAAAGCTTTTCTTATTTTAAACTTAACTTTATAAGCTTACTCTATAATATATAATTAGGTAATAAACCTTCTATAAATATAAGATTGTAAGTAAGAATAAGTATATAAGTAGATTTAGTTAATTTATATTATTAGATATTATTATTAGGTATTTTTTGTACTTTATAAATAGGCCTAAAGAGATATAAATAATAAATATATTTTATAAATAATTATGAAATTATATATTGTAGATATAAGATTCTTATTTTTAAGTTAATATTATATATTAGCAGTACTTCTATATATCTATTCTTACTTATAATTCCATTACTATAAGAGGTTAATTTAATTATTAAAAGAATTAGTATAACCTAGTGGGTATTAAATCTAGTTTTAAGGTATAGCCTAAGTATATAGCTAAAACCTAATATTAGCTTCTAACTAATTAACTCAATCTTGGAGGCTTTATTATATATATAAAGAGAAGAACTAAGTAAGAGTTACTTAAACTTCTATGGGAAATAATCTTCTTATTTGCCTATTGCCTATAAGGTCTATATGCCTATATATATATGAGTAATATGCCTGTAGACTTTAGTAGGAAGTGAGAATAATTAGAAATATCTTTTTTTAGAACCTTACTACCTCAATAGGAAATTAGAATTTACATTAGGGAGTTAAGGAAGTGTTAAGCGATATGGACAGCTATAATTATCATTCCCTATTATATGCTACCGGATTGCTTTGAGTTCTAAAGTATATAAAAACTAGTATTAGACTTAGATTAGAGAAGTATATAGCATTAGACTTTTTAAATAAGTATATTTCTTTATATAATAATAACTAGTTTATAAGTTTATTATATCCTAGCAAAATATCTCTAGGATATCTAGTTTGAAGTAATTTAGAGCTACTACTTTACTTAAGAATTTTTTCTTAAAATATTATTTAAACTTGCTCTATTTTTCTTTTTTTATCTATTTTAAAACTCTACTAGTTTTATAGCAGTTAACTAAAGAGGTAAGTAAAAGTAATAAGTACACTTTATAGACTAACTAGAATTAGATATTAACCTAGGCCTATTATTGATATTTTATCTTATAAAGTAATATGCTAATATAGTATATTACTAGAAGAATAATAACTTACCTGAAGATAAGGTTTCTTATTATTTTAATAACTGCCTATTAGTATAAGTAGAGAATACTACAACCCTAGTAGAATTTAAAAAGTAAGCTTATAAAGAGCTTCTTATAAGTTAAGTTATAATTCTAGCCTAGCTTTTATTTTCCCTCTTATTATTACTACTACTACTAAAAACTTCTTTAAATACCTAAGCGCCCCAGTAAGTACTTATAATATCTCTTTTATAACCCTAGAAGATTTCTTAATATTATAATATTAAGTCCTCTAAGCTAATTAATTATTAGTAGTTTACTTCTTACTGACATAATAGAATTTATAGCTACTAACTATATCAATAACCTTATAATTATCTCTTTTTAAGATTTAGTATTAATTTAAAGTTAGCTTTTTAATTTTATATTTATCTATATACTAATAGATATTTATAGCAGCTATATAGTATACTAGGGTTTCTAGATATCTTAGGTAGATACTTATAACTATATTTTCTAAGCAATAAGAACTACTATAATAAGAAATCCGGGATTCTATATTATTATTATAAGCCATAGCCTAGACGGAGCTATTACAAATCTCGCCGTAGCAGAACTAAGAAATAATAGGTATAATATAGCTTTAGTAATTTTACAATAGCCTAATAGCATTCTAGATTTACTTATATATTACTAGTATATATTTAGCGCTCCCCGTTTTAAAGACGACGCCCTCAGCATATATATTACCAATTAAGCTGGGGGTAATTATTACATCACATATTACAACAACCCAGTCCCACATATACCACCTATATTAGTCGGCTATATACATATTAGTCTGGAGTATTATATCTTAACCCCTAATCTCGCGCCTATTACTGCTGCCGATATCAGGGTATACCCAGGCATTAAAAATACCGATTGTAACGGGGCGTGGATAATACCGGACATCCTAGCGCATATCCAGTATTTTGACATAACGGGGCTTTGTTATCTAGCTCTGGACGTCTAAGAGGGATAGCAAGCTGGTATTCGCACACTATGGCTAGTTGAGCGGCGTTTCATACATTGTCCTTACTCTATGTATTAGGTTTTATCCAGCAATCTAGGGGTTGGCCAATTGTTAGCCTTCACTGTAACGTCACTATAACCTTCTAGCTAAATGCGGTCAGGGAGCGTTCCTTTTCCAGAGCCTGTGTTCCTGTGGTCATTTGACGAAAGAGTACAATTCCATCGAAAATGATTACTATTCTTACAGTTAAGGCCAGCCGCCGGATCTCGCGGATATTTAGTTACAGCTAGTACGAACTCGTCTTCCTAAGGAGAACTAATACATTATGTCCCAAATTTGGTTAGCAGTTCGGCCAGGACCCCCTGAATCGGAGTCCCAGATCTTGTCCTTCTGCTCCTCGTGTTATGTTTTGTATCTAGATCTGACCCTACGGGTCATCTCAATCCATCTATTACCTTTCAGGAGCAGCCGACGAAATCGGGCTCTCGACTCTGCGGAGTCATACCCACTAATCTCAGCCTCTGCCACCGATCCCATGTCTTGTTAGTCTCGGAGTCTGGCAGTTGAGTAGCACCACCTGGACATGATAAAGGAGTCTTTGCGCGAAGAATGTGGAAGGTTGTGGGGCTTGGCAGGGATCACTGTTCGTTGGTTCGTGAGGTGGGAGGTCGAGTGTGAGACGCTGACGGAAAACGCCGAATCTGAAGGACCCATCTCCTTCGGTCGCGGCGTCGGCTTCCACAGACGACTTTAGATTACTTCAGTATTGTCATTTCCCGCCTCCGATTGCAACGCTTCAAAACGGTGCGCCCTGAGAGCCAAACTCGGAGGCCCGAGAGCCAAGCGACTCAGCGATGCCTTGTATGCCAGACGTTGGCCAGCCAGGACTCCCGAACAGAGGGTGGCTCAGAATATAATGTGGAGCTGCTATAGCTTGTACAAGGTAGAGCGACCCATCGAACTCTAGTACAAATAGGTGATTTGTAATAATTGGCGACTGCACGGAAGGCTCTGTAATCATTCCGATCAAGGCATAATGAATTTTCAAGCACTAGGTCAGCGACATTGGCTTATGGATCTCACACCAATAGCTTTATCATCAACCACCTGGTACTAGAAAACCTAAACCTGGTTGTGCGACCTAGAAGGTGGATCAGGGTAATATGAGATAGAATGCTGTGCAGGCCAGGCATAATCTCAACGAGACTCAGGAAACAACTGTACTTAGTAATCCAGCTGTGTTTCAAGTAAAATCTACGGGCTAGAGTACCCCACCACTAAGGAGAGGTTAAGGGCAGGGTGGCCATCGATAAAAATATCGATTTTATCGTCGATCAATATTGTATCGACCCCTATCGATGTCGACCTCACCGAGTTGATGCCGCAAGCCTGCTTAGCCTACTCAGTAATATATGAAAGAAATGTGCTGCATTTCACCAGAATCGCATATTACGACACCCTGGAGATACGCATGATGTCAGTAAACCTGTCCGTCGCGGTCTAATGGCTGTCCTTTCTCTATGGAGCCCCCCGGATCCAGGCAGTCTCCCTTTACGACCAGGCTCTACCCCTTGCTGAAATTAAATCTAACCCCTGTATTCATTAGTGTATTTTAAACTGATGTGGAGTTTTCTACGATCGTCGCCGCAGCTATGAGAGGGGTCACCAGTATCACAAAGGGTGATGCGCCATCCGCAGAAGAAAAGAAATGCCAAACGAAACCCGCGGATACTAAGAGACCCGCGGACATCAGTATACATCTCCGTCCGGCCCGAACAATATTGCGTGGGCAGGTAAGTTCGTACTAGCCGTAACTCAATGCTGGTGGTTGCGCCGGGCGTCCAGCCTTCCATGTAAGCTTGCTAATCATGCTGCTGTAAAAATTAACATTTGCAAATTAACTTCGAGAATGGGACAACACAGGTACTCCGTAGTTCTCGAATCGTCATGCTCTTGATTGACCGTGCGGGTTTGGGATCCCTAAAACGAGGGTATCATGAAGAACCCGAGGCCGTTTACATTTCTAAGTTGACATGTAATCATGGAACTAAATCGAGATTTGGGAGGGTGAGGATTCCAACTTGAAACCGGAATTCCTCGGCCGTCAGAAAAATGACGGTTTAGTAGTATTGACAGGGGGCTCTTCGGCACAGCGGAACGGGGCGTTTGGTACTTGGGTTAGCTTTTCTAGAAAAGTATAATTACAAAGTTTAAAGGCATTAAAAATTCCGATCTTGCTGAGGCATATGAACAGGTTCATCAACTTCCAGGGGCTGAAGAAGTCCGAGCGTAGGGCTTGGATTATCCACCGCTGCTGAGTGCTGGTATTTTCATACAGTGAAGACATTTCCCGCACCTCCGAGTCGGGCTTGGAGAACAACGGTGGACAAGGCCGGGGCATAGCATGGTGCAATTCATTGGTCAGGTTTGTTCCAGCATCAACAGCACACAATCCTGGGCAATAAGTACGCTAGACACGCAGAGAGCATTCGCAAATGCCAGCGATCGCCATGTCTTGACGAACTCCACTTGCTTGGCACCGGCTTATGCCATTACTACAAGAAAATAGGGGCAACTCGTGTTGGTACACTTAAATTAAATTAAATTAAATCAATATACGTGTTATATAATCATGCCGAGTTTGTCTGCTCGATGCGCGCTGTCACTCGATATAAGTCGATCGTTTGAGTTATTGTTCCAGGCTTGGGTTCATCCTGTCGTTCTTATTGCCATTTTTTTTATCTGGTAAATCGATCGTTACTACACCGGAATTCTCCCTTTTACACCGGATAGGTTGGTGATCTAAGTATCATGGGTCCCACAAACCTCATCGCTTGCACTCTGCTTCTTGCGGTAGGAGCACAGGCAGCCATCCCGAGGATTCGCGGGTTCAGACTGACTTGGGCCGACGACTTTAATAGTTTCCCTAATGCTCTATCCGATGACTGGAACTGGATTATTGATATAGGTACCAGCTATCCTGGTAGTCCTCAGTCTTGGGGTACTGGCGAAATCTAGATATATATAAATAGCACCGAAAATATCTGTATTAATAGTAAGGGCAATTTTTTAATTACTACTCTATAGAGCTCTTCTAGTATATAGATATGTTTCTAAATTGAGATTTAATAGATAGATTTTATAGTATAACTAGAAGGGAAAATATAAATCCAGGCCAATCTAAAGATTCCCTACCTGGATAATAATAGTATTAGATATTAAACTGCTTTTTAGATATTTAGTAGTAAGTATTATAGTAATTACTAATATAAAAATACTATTCTAATTCAGTCTAAAAGTAGCTATTATAACTAATATAGAAACTGGCTATCTATTAGAGAGTATAATATTATAGAGAGCATTAATACCCTTAGCTGGGCCTGGGGCGTACTATATTACAGCACGAACCCTGGAGGGCCTTGTAATAAACCTAATAGTATAGGCAGCAGCAAACCATACCCTAACAGCTCTTGTACAGGGAACTTCCACACCTACACTATCGAGGTTGATAGGATAGAATATCCCGAAACGCTTAGCTGGTTTGTCGATAGGGAGCAATTCCACCAAGTCAACGAGACGCAATTGCCGGAAGACGTTTGGGAGAAGACGGTGCACCGCTCTTATTTTATTCTCCTGAATATGGCTATAGGCGGTGGCTTCCCGAACGGCGTTTTTGGTGGTCCGACGCCGACCAACAGTACTATTTCAGGAGGCACGTACGAGATCCGATATGTTGCTGTGTATAACTCGATCGGCTATCACCATCACTAAGATTCTGCTGCTCCGTTACCTTTACCATTTCTTTGGCCCCTGACGCGAATCCAAAGGCTGAAATGCTTTGTGAGCGTGAAAGGGTCGGTTTGTTCACATAGGATTAGTTTTATTTATATAGGCGTCCCCAGCTGCGTCCCATGTCACCATAGTAGAATCAGATGCTACAATTTACTGCTACCTAAGAAATGTGATATTCGACTGTGACTTCCTGCAGGTACAACTAGAGTCCTGGGTTCGAAAATATAGAGCAGTAGAGCCGGCAACTTATATATAGTAAACCTTTTAAACTCGCTTATTCGTTTATACGCCGTAGCTTAAACATGAGAAACTGTAGAATCCGTCTTGCTCAGTCCGCTACAATGGCGCACAGCTCGACGTCGGCGCCCTTTTCGAGCAGCAGCTTAACGATGGCCTCGTGGCCTTTACGGACCACCTCCGATAGCGACGTCCGACCATCTTTGTCCTTGCACTCGACGTCGGCGCCCTCTCGAGTAGCAGCTTGACGATAACCTCGTGCCCATTCCATGCAGCCCGCTGTAGCGGCGTCTGACTATATTTGTTATTGCACTCGACGTCGGCGCCCTTCTCGAGCAGCAGCTTGATGATGGCCTCGTGCCCGCTAGCGACGGCCCATGATAGTGGAGTCCGACCATGCTCGCTGTCTTTCGCCTCGACCTCGGCGCCCTTTTCAAGAAGTAGCTTGACGACCCCTGCGCATGTCACATGCCTTCTTAGGCCATCTCACCGGTTGCGCAACCCAGCTGCCCGGATATCTTCTTGGACTAGCACGTTGATCAGGACCGCGGCGTTGATCAGGATGGGGCCAGGTTGTTGACGAAGGTGCGCTAGAGTCCATCCTCAAACTACCGGTTGATATCGAAAGTTATTTGATATCGAAAGTTATTTGGAACTTTCCTGCACACTAATGCAAATGGCTTACGCGCGTACTAAGGTACGCTAGGGCACAGACCAAGTTTGGTGCAGAGTCCTGACTTATGTGACAGTTGTGAGATGCGCCGATGTACGAATACGAACTTTCTGAATGCGAGGAGTGGTCTTGCGCCGTTGGCTTGGCGCCTCCTAAGCCCTACTCAAAACCACCCGCCTGCGTTGTTGGCCCCCTGAATTCGACAGGCTGGCAATTTGTACGCGATCGCACAAACCACCTCTTTCTCCCGTAACGCATTTCGGAGTGTTGACAACCTCTACCCCTATACGTCATCTCCTACCTTCCGCGACAAAGTGGCCTGCTAGACGTCTGGTACCTAGCTGTTCACCGTTTCTGCCGCCCCATTCGATTGCACGAGATGTCGTCCACTGCCGTACGGTTTACGGTATCCCTCTCATCATATCTTCGAGTTTGCAGCTGCATGGAAGGCTTGAAATACTCTCTCTCGAGGCCCAACGCCATCCCATGGGCTGAATAACGATTAGAAGTTACTGATAACTGTACACGCGGACACTACAAAACACCTAAATCAATAGTGGAATTCATGGACCCAAATAGCACCTCTCCAACCAATCACATCCCCTTCAAAGCCTCCTCGATCCCCAGCCATTGAGACGCGCGCAAAGTACCCGCCGACCAGTAATTCCCAGCTGTATCCTTCCCGAAAATAGGAAACGAGTACCGGCCAGAGAAGCCATTCAAATGTGTTATGACCTGGACATACGACGGCCTCCCAAGCGTATTAGGCCGCTCCATGAGTTGGGGATACGGCTTAAGGTTAGCACTCGCGGTAGAAAAATCAACATCAAACAATCTACCCTTGGTCCAATTGCTGAAGTTTAGCATTTGAGTGCTCGAGTCGCCGAAGATGGGAGCCCGTCCAGTTGCCTCTGTTGCCGTCTTGAGGAGTGCTGCGAAGGCTTCGATTTGCTCCCGTGTCCCTTGTTCCTGGATTGATTGTCGCACTTGTGATGCCACATAGCTGAGGGGCTTGTTGAAGACATCTGACGCCGACATGAAAGCAAACACCGCATACACAGCATTCGACATATAGGCAGTGCCGGACGGCAGAAGGTCGTTGGCTAGCACACCTCGTAGACTGAAACCGTTCGAGATGAGGATGGTTCTGGTTGATGTTCGGGGCAGATGTTGAATTGCCAATCGAGTCCACCAGGCGCTAATGATATCGCCATCGCTGAGGAATGGCTCGCTACCGCTAGCATCCTGAGCAGCGAGCTCCTGAATAGCTGTCTGCTTCATGGCCTGCAGGTATGAATGCGGCAAACACACGACGCGAGTCTCCTCTTCACGCCACCACAGCTGCTCAAACATGTAGCGAGCAACGAAACCGAGCATGCCAAGCCCGGTTACCTGGTAGCTAGCAAGCATAGATTGCTCGACTGGCGTAGAGCCAAGAGTGGCCAATGGGTCAGCATTGAAGCCGTGAAAGGGGGGCACTCGGTCTTCCTGACCGCTAAGTACAAGGCTCCACGCATTCAACAACGTCGCCATCCCCATTGCATCGAGGAATGTATGCGGCCAAGACAACGATACCAACGTCGCGTCTTCGAATGAGACAATGTAGAGGCATAGCTGAGGTTCATCTGCGAAGAGATAATCATCAAGCTTCTTTGGAGCATCCGGGCGGCGAACAAGAGAGATGAAGTCTGCAGGGTTGGCTTGTACCGATGGACGACTGCTCATTTTGGGCAAACGAGATGCGAGAGGATGATCCTTAATGTTTATGTCGTGTTTGATTCTCGTGTACGAGAAGCCTGGTCTTGTCTCATCGAAACTTGTTGGGATGTGGTATTCCAGCCTACCGGCCTCCTTATTTGCCCTTTAGTCAGCACCTGATCGTTTGTTTGATCACGGATGATAACTTGCATTCATCCGCAGCCTTGCGCCGAGCTTCCTCCAAGCCCCCAGTTCCATCAGGCTCACCAAGGCAATACGGAGCGTTTCGCTGTCCAGAGCATCGTCAAACCGAAGCGTCAAGTCCAGAACTATCGATCGATGGACGGGCTGATCATCAAGAAAATGTAGGGGAATGATTGTGTCTGTTGGAATGGTCGCCGGCTGGGTCGGCTTCATTGGACTGAATGGCCACATGACACTGCTTGGCAACGGGCCTAGATCAGGGATAGATTAATAAAACGTGAAAATGACCGAGAAACGTGAACAACTCAGACAGACATGAAGAGAACAGGAAGCCCTTTAAGATTTGGGCCGGGCCAGACTTAGTAATTGACTAATATTCGCAATGGATTGATTGATGTAGTGGGCTTGTCGGACGACGGGACAGGCCGGACTCCGTGATACGAACACGAAAAATCTCTTGGCGTGATTGCGTAAATTGGGGCCGCTTTTGTGAGCGAATGGCTGGCCACCATGGTTTAACCCACCACCTGCCCAGTCCGCCTCCATATCTTACCACGTCTGTGTACAACTCCAGTCGAATTCCCATGCGCTGGTTAATTGCGTGGCTTTTTTGAACATTCTTGTCAATCATGGGCCTTTCCCAGGGCATTACGGCGCCATTGCCCCAGCAATTCCACTCTCTGGGCGCCGTGTCGCGAGTCAGTGTCATCTTAGGCGTCATCGTGCTCCTCGCCGTCGCACTCAACGTCGCCTCTCAGTTACTCTTCAAGAACCCACGCGAGCCCCCTTTAGTCTTCCACTGGTTTCCCTTCATTGGTAGCACCATCGCCTACGGTATAGATCCCCCAGCCTTCTTTCAGCAGAACCGGGACAAGGTACGATCTACTCACCCCTGGAAGGCTAATGCCCCCATTTGCGTGTCCTCGCAACTAACGGATACCTCTCAACAGCACGGTGATGTCTTTACTTTCATTCTCTTGGGCAAGAAGACGACTGTCTGCATCGGTCCTCAGGGCAATGATTTCATCTTGAACGGCAAGATTCGTGATGTTTGCGCCGAAGATATCTACACTGTCCTGACTACTCCCGTTTTTGGCAAGGATGTTGTCTACGACTGTCCCAATGCCAAGCTGATGGAACAGAAGAAGGTAATCGCGTCCCCAGCGCTGCTTATATGAGGATGAGGATGGTGCTTACGCGAGGTGCTATACAGTTCATGAAAGTTGCCCTGACAACCGAGGCCTTCCGCTCCTACGTCCCAATCATTTCCTACGAGGTCGCCAACTACTTCAAGAAGTGCCAGGATTTTAAGGCAAAATCCGGCATCATTAATATCCCCCCCAAGATGGCTGAGGTTACGATTTTCACCGCGTCACATACTCTGCAGGGCGCCGAAATCCGGAATAAGTTCAACGAATCTCTCGCTGCTCTATATCACGATTTAGACATGGGCTTCTCCCCGATCAACTTCATGCTACACTGGGCACCCCTACCCTGGAACAGGAAGCGCGATCACGCCCAGCGCACCGTTGCCCAGATTTATATAAACAGCATAAACGAGCGCCGCGCCAATTGCCAGACTGGCGGCCTGGATATCATGACCCATCTGATGAACTCGACCTACAAGGACGGTACCCGGGTCCCTGATCACGAGGTTGCCCATATGATGATTGCCCTCCTCATGGCCGGCCAGCACTCCTCCTCCTCCATCGGCTCCTGGATCATGCTGCGCCTTGCCCAGAACCCCGCCATCATGGAGGAGCTCTACCAGGAGCAGGTGCGCGTTTTCGGCACTGATCTGCCGCCCCTCGCGTACGAGGACCTTGCCAAGCTTCCCCTAAACCATGCCATTATCAAGGAGACCCTTCGTCTACACGCGCCCCTCCATTCTATTATGCGCGCTGTCAAGCACCCTATAGCCGTTCCTGGCACTCAATATGTCATCCCGACTACTCATAATCTCCTAGCCGCCCCCGTTTTCTCTGCCTCCGACCCAACCTACTTTCCCAACCCATCCTTGTGGGATCCTCACCGTTGGGAGGCTGGCTCCCCAAACGCCCCCATGATTGTTTGCAGCAATGCTGAAGAGGAAAGGGTCGATTACGGCTATGGCCTGGTCAGCAAGGGGACCGCCTCCCCTTACCTACCCTTCGGTGCTGGCAGGCATCGATGCATCGGCGAGCAGTTCGCCAACGTACAGCTGCAGACCATTACCGCCCAGATCGTCAGGTTATTCAAGTTCAGAAACACCGATGGGAGCGATAAGCTCGTTGGCACTGACTACGCCTCGCTCTTCTCGCGGCCTCTCGAGCCGGCGAACATCTATTGGGAGAGACGTTGAGCATCGTTGGCAAAGGAATATTAGCAGCGAGGGGCAAGGAGAGTGAGTTTACGCTTTCGAAGGGCGGATGTTTGGTCATGAGAGTGCTAGATGGATCTTAGGTTTTGGATGTCGTGGGCTACTTTACTCCACGGCCAGTGCTCCACTGTCGCGTTCAAACTGAGGCAAACAAAGATCAATGTTGGATCGAAAAACTCCCGATCTTGTTAAATTTTCGAGATAAAACCTATGATTCGAGTGCAGATGTCGCGATCTAATATGGAAAGCATCAATTCTTAATGTCATAGAAGCATCCTTGGACGCTATTACGAGCTTGATTATACATTGGATCACCCCTTTCTGGCTATGATTGTGATAGTTCAGTATTCGTACAAAGATGTCGGCTAGTAAGATGCTGGGCATGGTGGACTGCGTGCCTGTGTTGATGTCCAATTTCTTGCCTCGCTCCCAGAATAGAATCTAGCCTGATGAGAATATCGCGTCGGTATCGAGCTACGAAACGGAGTCTGAAACTATGGCTAATAGCAAGGACGTTAGTTAGAGTCGGTTTTGATACAAGACGTTGCCTGGGGAGGCAGAAAGGGGCCTAGCTCTTATGCCTCGAGGACCTCTCAAGTGAAAGTTTAGACCCCGGTTCGAGTTCGTAGGTGCCTTATACAGCTTGCATTTGCGTTGGAAAATGACATCGGACATAGCTTAATGGACTCGGGTTCGGGTTCGGACTCGGGCGAAATGTCGAACCCGTCGGTGTTATTCAGTGACCGATTGGCTAGCCACCCCGGCCGTAAGACTGGTTCCCCCACGTTGTTGATAACGGCTAAATAGTTCTTTTAAACTGTTGAGAGGTCCGAGATGTGTGTATTGATGATGTGTAACTAGCTGGCTAAGGCCAGGGAATTAGGGGGCGCACACTATTTATCATGGAAGGTACGGCGTGTCTAGGGTGATTTTGCCAATATCATAGTCCGGGGCCGGAATCTATCTTGTTGTTCAGGTTGCTCCTCGTTGAGAACTCGAGACACAATAGTACAGAACACAGTTTTACACAATATAGGCATCTCAAATAAGTTCAATGCTATGTAATACATAAGGAACCCAGGATCCCATTTGTAATTAGCCGAAGCGGTTGGAATATTTGAAGAATGCAGAAGGGAGTTTTAAGAAGGGACAAGGCCCGGAAGGAACTGTTGTCTTCTTATTCATTGTAACCCGGGGTCAGCTGCGAAGGCTAACATAGGGGTCTCGGATTTGAAGGAGTGGCTGTAAGGAGATCAATTTCGCTTTATAACGCATTAGAAAATTTATCAATTGGCGTGAAATTATTATTATCAATAAAAAGGGACTCGGTTTCACGGCTTATTACAAAAAATCGATTGAAATCGTGATATTGGCGGTGTTATGAAGGAGTGATGTAGCTATATAAGACTCTGTGATGTAAAGGGGGAGTTGTAGCTGCGGGAGGAAATTTTCAGTCATATGACGTTGCACGTGCGAAAAGTTATATGACTAGCAAAAAGGGGTGATTGAAAATAGCACGACTCTTGTCCAATTGCGTACAATTTGCCAGCCAGTCGAATTCAGGGGGGCCAACAACGCAGGCGGGTGGTTTGAGTAGGGCTTAGGAGGCACTAAATTAAGGGCGCGAGACTGCTCCTCGCATTCAGAAAACTCGTATTCGTATGCTGTGTGTCGTGCGCATACCAGGGCTCTGCGCCAAACTTGGTCTGTGCCCTAGCATACCTTAGTACGCGCGTAAGCCATTTGCATTAGTATGCAGGAAAGTTCCAAATAACTTGACAAGAGCCGCAGCTCCGTCAACATGGGCTCCCCATGATGGTGTTGTATTTGGATCTCGGAGCATAGTCTGGAGTGGTTATCAGTTTAGCGTGGTTGGAGGCGCCGTGTTTCAGAGATTCAACAACTAACCTCATCGCCACTAACTCGCATTCAGAAAATTCGTATTCGTATGCTGTGTGTCGTATGCATACCAGGGCTCTGCGTTAAACTTAGTCTGTGCCCTAGCATACCTTAGTACACGCGTAAGCTATTTGCATTAGTATGCAGGAAAGTTCTAAATAACTTTCGATATTAACCGGTAGTTTGAGGATGGACTCTAGCGCACCTTCGTCAACAACCTGGCCCCATCCTGTCAGATTTCCCCACTTCCCCGGCACGGGGTGGTCAGGGTTGGGAAACAAAGGACCAGAGCCGATCCAGACGGCGGCCTGACTCACGTCAAAGCGGTCTATCAAGGAACCCGGCCAAACTCAAACCTTAACTTATTATCGCTTGATATCCCACTACAGTATATATATGCAACTGGCTTACGTGCTAAAGGCTACGGAGTAATGTAGTATTCTCTATGAAACTTAGGATCTAAGTTGTAACTTTGTTCTTTCCCCCGGCCCCAGTGGCAGACATTTTATCCTGATTCTTTATCAGGCCAATCAAGCAGTCGTCTGCCCATCCCGAATGCAGCTCCTGTTTGGTCTACAAGCAATGGCAAAGGGATCTTGTAGCAGGGACAGAAGTAGTTTAAATTCATAGGCTGCTCTTTCATTCTGGACTTGCCAATCCTCATCAGTTGTACTCAACAGACCGGCATAATCTAATCCTTCCAAACTGCGAACGACACTCTCTGACCTCTCCACGCCCGTCGTTCTTACCAAGAACCCAGCTTCAGATCAGATATCTATCGACACGCGCAGAAACGATGGCGTCACCTGCTGTGAAATATGTAAAGTGCGTTCGTCCTCTGGAGATTAAAACTCAACGGAGGAGGGAAAACAATCAATCCCAGTGATGAGTTTTCTTCTATCTGCTGTTTCGAGTTCCTTGTCCAATATTAACATTCCGTCTTCAGGCTGGGAGACTCTGGCCTCAAAATCTCGCAAATCATTCTCGGCGGTATGAGCTTTGGCGACAAGAACTGGCAGCCCTGGGTTCTTGACCAGGAGGAGGCTATCCCGATCATTAAATACGCCTTCGACCGCGGCATCAACACGTGGGATGTTGCGGATGCGTATTCCAACGGCCGTTCCGAGGAAATCATCGGAAATGCCATCAAGAAACTCGAGATCCCGCGGTCCAAGTTGGTTATCATGACCAAATGCTTCCACTATGTCGACGAGACCCACGGGCCGATCAGCCCGGGGACGTTCAATATTAATGACGGCAAGCAGGTCAACCTCGTGGGCCTGTCACGGAAACACATTATGGATGCCGTCGACAAAAGTATAGAGCGGCTGGGCACATACATTGACGTCCTCCAAGTCCATCGGCTGGATCAGGGCACGCCGGGCGAGGAGATCATGAAGGCGCTCAACGACGTCATCGAGAGCGGCAAAGCGAGATACATTGGCGCGAGTTCGGTGAGATGCCCTCTCTTATACTGTTTCCATTTAGTGTCCCTATTTTCCTGTTGTTTCTGGTCCAGTTGGCTTTTCGCTTCTAGAGTTGACACCAGAACTATAGATGCCCGCCTGGGAGTTCCAGCGGCTCCAGAATATTGCCGAAAAGCATAACTGGCATAAGTTTATCTCCATGCAGGGGTTCTACAACCTGCTGTACCGCGAAGAGGAACGTGAGATGATCCCATACTGCAAAGCCACTGGTGTCGGCCTTGTGCCCTGGTCACCCTTGGGCGCGGGCGTGCTGACGCACCCCTGGTCCGACCGGTCCGACCCACGGGAGCAGTCGGATGTGTTCCTCAAGCTGCTCTTCCGCAGCCGGGAAGATTCTGCTGACCAGGCGATTGTGCAGCGTGTGGAGCAGCTGGCGACGAAGAAAGGGCTTAGCATGGCTCAAATTACGATCGCATGGGTCTTGGCCAAGGGTGAGATATCGCCCATCTGCGGCCTGGAGACGAGGGAGAGGATCGACCAGGCGATTAGCGCTCTGTCAGTCTCGCTCTCGGACGACGAGGTTCGGTTTTTGGAGGAGCCTTATCTCCCGCGGGAGATTTCCGGCTACTAGTTAGTTGTTTGAGCTCTTAGTCGTCATAGCTACCGAAGTTCACGAGATTTGTATCGAAATGCTGCCGCTTCTGCTCCCCTCTATTTCACCTTCTCGTCCCCATTGCCTGCTCCGGTCCATGTCCGCTAGTAGAGACCAGGGATGGTGGTGAAGTCATTATCCCCGTGATAACTGATGCTGGGGATGCGGATGGTCTGCTACGGGTGCTCAGTGAGACGGCCCACAGCCTAGCTCAAGAAACTTCACTTGATGATGGCCAAGACGAATCCTTAGGCATTACCAAACTGCCACCAATTGAATCGATCAGTTGAAGCTAGTGAATGCCTCTAAAGAAGCAACGTATTGTTATTATACGATCTACGAACTATGTAGAAATGCAGGATTTCCCTGCGGCAAGGGCGTATCGGTAGTAAGGGTGGCGGATGACACCAAATAGCAACATCCGTGTATGGTCCGAGCTCTGATCAGAGCCCACATAGCCTAAATAGGTTCTGCTGTCTGATAGGAACCCATCAATTTACACTGCTTCAGCACAGCAGCTGCGGGTAGGCTGCCAGTGTCCCTACGGCCTTAATATCGGGCCGATTTGTGCAACATGTCGGGAACATCGGATAACCTTGCTTCCTAGTTGCTGAGATCACGCCATCCAGTCGTAGGGAGCCAAGTAAACCAAACCGCACTATGACGTGTGCGAACGAGCCTTATAGAGGAAAGACCCTAGTGAACTCCAGTGCCCTAGGCTTATATGCAACCGGCTTACGTAGTATCCGTTCATTATCTTTAAGGTTTGCCCCTCACACCACCCTTGTTATGGCATGCAAACGGCTGACAGAGCTAGTTGAGTCAGCCTTCTACGAAACGTCAGGTGGGCGGTTTTTTCCTATGGCGTTTGCCAATCCCGCATCCCTAAGTGTACATCGGGGGACACGGTAACGCGGCAATCCGTGTCTTGGCATATTTAGCGTGTAAGTAAGGTTGCAGTACAATGACCGGCGGGGGCAACCACGAAACCCAATGGTCTGCCGAGTCAAGGCCGACATGCCAAGCGACTCAGGCACCTATATGTATGCCGATGGTGTGGCCATTATTTAAAGCCCAAGATCCGGCTCACAAAATCTGCAATTGCCATTCTTCAACCAAGAGACACCTTTGGAATTACAGAGATCCTTTCAAGCGTACACCATGACAACCATGGACTACAAGTTCGAAGGGTGGGTTGGCCTTGACCCAAGCGCCGCGGATGGCAAGATGGAGTGGCGGCCATTCGAACCCAAACCCTGGGAAGAGACAGATGTCGACGTCAAGGTCACACATTCCAGTATTTGCGGCACCGACTTACATACCCTACGGGGCGACTGGGTAAATCCGCCCCGCACGTTGGATGGTTCCGTCGAGTTCGCGCTAACTATTGTGAAGGGTCCAACCGACTATCCTATCTGTGTCGGACACGAGATAGTTGGAATCGCCGTGAGGGTGGGTTCAAAGGCCGAGGGAAATATCAAGGTCGGCAACCGTGTTGGTGTCGGTGCACAGGGGGACTCATGTCTCAGCCGAGACGGCGACTGTCAGCCATGCGCGGAAGGACTCGAGAACTACTGCCCCGGCGCTATTTATACATATGCCGGAGTACATCGTAACGGCGGGAAGGCCATGGGAGGACACGCCTTGTATCATCGTGCCCCGTCTCATTTTGTGGTGAAGATCCCGGAGGGCCTGGACTCCTCGGCGGCCGCACCTATGCTTTGTGCCGGAATCACGACGTTCTCACCTTTGCAGCAACACGGCGCCGGACCAGGCAAGAAGGTCGGGGTCATTGGGCTTGGCGGACTAGGGCACTTTGCCGTGCTCTGGGCGAAGGCGCTAGACGTGGACAAGCTCGTGGTGATTTCACGAAAAGGGGAAAAGAGGCACGACGCCTTGAGGATGGGTGCTGATGTCTATATCGCCACGGATGACGAGTCACACTGGGCTATGAACAATCAAGCGTCATTAGACTTGATCATCTCGACGGTTTCATCAACGAAGGTATGCGACTCCACAGGAACAGCTCGAAATTGCCTCGCTAACTCATCACAGATGCCATTCGCCGAGTATTTGTCTCTCTTGCGCTTGGGTGGTACCTTTGTCCAGCTTGGCGCCCCTGATGGGCCTTTGCCTC